CCTTGAGAAAACTATTTAAGTTTCCAGAGTTTAACCTCTGCCCTACACAACATTTTGAATTCCAATTCTTTAATTTTAATACTCAATGTGGGTTCGGGGTAGTCTAATCATCACTCATAATTTATTAAGATTTATATTAATAATGTCAATAAAGTAGTCCATATACAAATATATGGAATATTTATATCTCCCTAACCTTCACTTCTGTTTCTAAGCAGACATAAACATATGATGGATTGATTCTGAATTGACATATTTCACATTCAAATTTCAAGTATTTACGTCTTAGTTTTTTTATGTAATAACATATATTTATTTATAAATATTATGCATACTCAGCAAAGAACTTTTTATATCATATTTGAAAAAAGGTCTGATCATTCTGTGGTAGCTTTTTTCCTAAGCTGAAGTATAAAATGCCAGAGACATTGCTTTTTAAAAATAAGCACTAAGAAAACTAATTAAACTAGTTAACTACAAAGGGAACATTGTAAGAGGGGAAATAGCTTGGGATTGAACCCTATGATTTTATTGTTTTCACAGAAAATGTAATAACTCCTCATTGACATCAACTACCCAGTTGCAAGAAGAGTATACCTTCTGTTTTGCTGAGACACAGACGAAGCAATTAGTAAGAAGTAGTCATCAACCAAGGAGAAAATGAATTGGGTGTAAAAGTTTTCCAGTTTACATGTCGTTTGAGAGGCCCTGATAGTCGGAAGGCACATTAAAAAAAAAAAAAAAAAAAAAAAACACAACAGTTTTAGATAAAGATCATGCATTCAAAAGAATTCCTTGAAATCATTCCATCATTCTATCAAAATCAGATTAGTCTGTCATTACCTTCCAAATTACTAATAAAAAAAATCATGAAAAATACCATAACCAGTTTCAAGTATAGAACTAAATTCATTAATTGTTCTTCAAATTACACATTTTGACAAATAAGTTTATTATAAAGTCTTTAAAACAAAAATGCATGTTTGGTGAAAAGTTAGTATAGTTGTCACTCGTATTTTATCATATATTAAAATATGAAAGTAATGAATGGGATTATGACTTTATCTGTAACACGATGTCACTGACTAGCTGATTTGTGATCCTGACTATGATGGTTATCATACTTTATTGCCATGCCAAAGTCAATTCTGTGATAGATGTGAAGTAACATTAGTTTATCTTATTTCACAGCATCATGGTATACCATGCATCTTTCAAGTCTCTTAAAGAAAATTTAATCACATGAAATGGAAAAAACATTTTAAACCAGGGATACATAGTATATTGCAATTTGTGATGGAATTAAAAATAGGTAGCAGGAAAAGAATTAAAAGGCAAGGCTATCTATCTATATATGTATATACGTATACAGATTTTTGTATACATATATATACACATACACATATATAATGCATGTAAGAGAAGACTCAGATTTTAAAGCATAAAATAAAAGTTATTTTATTTTTAAATAATGCATAGTCAATGAGTATTTAATATAAATCCTACAAATATAATGGGATTATTGTTAATAATGAGAAGTAATAATGCTGGGCATGATTTGGCACTTCTGAATACCTTAGTGAATTTTAACATCTAAGATGCCATTAATTTTTGGATGCACTATTATTTTATACATCACTACACAGAAATGCCACCAATTGTATTTAAAAATAGGCCCGATTGTAGAGATGTTAAAATGTGGAGAAACAAGCATCTTCAAACTGAAGGAACAAAGTAATGCTCTTAAATAATCAGGGATTAGTTACTGGCAGTAGGAGATTACATAGCATGATCTTTCTCCTGGAAAATTAAAATCTCCATTGCCTGATGCCTTCCTATAAAAGAAGAAAAACAACATTGACATAAATTACACTTAAAATATGTTTCCAAAAAGAAAAGGGGGAGGGATATGTTAGTGAATTCAACTTGTAAGAAACACAAAAGATATTAGAAAAAAGGAAGGCATTTGGTAAACAGGTAAGTTGTCATTATTATCACTGCTATTAAAGAAGAGACTAAACACAATTTACATTTATTTCACTTATCCCAATTTTTTAGATTTCCTGCATTTTTATCCATTGACTTTCAATGATAGCAACTAAACATTTGATCTGGAGTGAGAAACATTGATTCTAATTCTATGTTTGTTGGTTTACATAAATGATTCAGAACCCACTTGAGATATATGTTTTAATTTATAACTGTATCAATAAATGATTACTTTGCAGTTCTTTTTGATTGCCCTTTGTTCTTGGCATTCATCAGCACTTTCTTAAAGATTTAATCAAAATTAATTTTTGAAGTACCAGCCAGTTCTCTTGAAGTTCTGAAGCATTGTGTATTCTTACTGTGTACAAGGTAACAGAAAGTCTTACTACCTTATCAATGTTTAATTGAGGGATTAAAACTTTCACTTACAGCAATTTCTTTGTGTAAGGCTACTTAGGAGAAAAGGAGACTTGTATACCTGGAAAGGACATATATCTATCCAAATATTCTGAATATGGTTTTTTAGATTTTTGCAAAATCCTCACTCAAATCAAAGTTCAAGAAAAGAAGGCAGCAATGAGTTAAGCCTCTGTTTAGATCTAAAACCTTTTTATTGATATTACAAGCAATGAGTGTGCAGAAAGTCAGTTAAAAATGTGACCCAGTAATAGGGGATAGTCAAGAAAAGTGGATATTTGCCACACAAAATGGAAGGCAAGCTGAAGGGGGATTTATTAAGCTAAGTGCCCAAATATTGTTTATCTCTTTGGTATAATAAAAGGTTAGCTGTAATTTTGAAAAAATTCAATATGCTTGATTTAGTCAAAAAAGTCATGAAGTTCGTGTTTATTCTAGTTAATTTAAAGGTTTCGGTTTAGCTCAATTCTATCACTACCTGGATATTCAGACCGGTCCCCTCTTTAACTCTGAAAATACACATTAAATTCCAAGTTCATATTTGTTTCATATTTTACTTTCAGAGATATGAGACTTTTTAACAGGTATTACAAATATGGATGAGTGCATTGGGAGTGCCTATTAAATTTCTTCCTGTAGACATTAAGATACACGAAGCATTGACGATTTATCCCATGGTAACATAACAGATAAATTGTATAGCTATTCTCATTTTGGTGATAAGTGAACATTGCTCAACAAACACACATACTGCTTTTCATACCTTACCTGGAAAGAGGCTTTATTGAACATAGCTGTAAAATTATTTTTTAAGTTTAATTACTGAATTTGCACAAACATTTCTACAGAATTAAAAAAAAATCAAGCTGTGTCATTTTTCCACTACATTTTGTTGTGCTTTTTATATTAATATTTGCAAATGTTATAATTTAATACTTATATCCCAATTACTTGCATAATCAGTTTTTTTAAACTCCTGGGGTGTTGAAAGAACATATAATAATAATATTCTTCTTTAGACAAAAGTCTTTTTAAATGAAGTTAAAAGCTGAGATAATTTAAGGAAAAAAGATCTTCAAATTTTCATAACCAACAGGTTTAAGTGAAATTTACAATGCATTGGAAAACTGGCTGGTTAAAGATATGATTTGTCCTCAGGTAGCTCAAAATCATTTTTACAGGTTTTTGTTTTTTTGTAAAAGTGTTTTTTTATCTTTGTAAAATAATAAAATAATATTTCACAATTTGCACAGAGTCTGACTAAAGGGCAGAGGCATATTACCCTCAGTGTTTAGAATAAAGCCAGATTTTTCAGGCGCAGTTCCGCTGTAGAGTTCGTATGCACTGCAATCACAAACATTTTCTTGTTCCCTCTAAAGCTAGGGCCAATTTCATTTCAAATGGAAGTTAAAGTAAAAAAAAAAAAAAAAAAAAAAAATTACTCATGTTTTACCACCTTCTGCGCTAGGTATTATCTTAACCTTTTGCTCTGGTTGACCCATTTAATAACCTGGAAGAAAAAAAGTGTCGCTCCCATGTCTGGTCTCAATGGAAGTTATTCTGTAATAAACAATAAGCCGAAAGGCCATGGCTGTCTGGTCAAACAACAAATATCTCGTCTGCATGGGCTTACGCAGCAGCTTCGGTCCTTTCTTCTTCAGAAGCGGCTTTGTTGTCTTGCCTGTAATTTGCACATTTAGGCTCTGTAGTTTGTTTATAAAATAGTTTTACACAAACCACTCTTAGCAGTGCAAGCTTCTGAGTTGAAAATTATTCAGGCTTGTTTCATTGAAGGCACTTAGTTTCCATGGCAATTTATAAAAGATGGTGGTTTGGTTTCTTCATTGGAACAGATGACTTAATTTGGGTGTTCAAGTGGCCGCGAGCAAACTCCGATAAGCCTGTGTATTTTGTAAGCCCAGGTTTACTCTCCTGGATAGTAGTGCATGCAAAAAGAGACAGCATACAGTTATCTAGCTTAGCCATGGGAGGAAAACAAATAAAAGCAATAAAGGTAGGATGGTGATAAGGTGGGGAAGATGAATGTTTTAAATAATTCTGAGTTTGGGTTCTTTTCAAGGAAGGGTAACAACCAAAGGTAAAAGGACCTACATTTGTTTAATTCTCTACGTAAAACCTTCTCCAAAGGAAAATAAATGCCAGCTCTTCATGTACCCTGTTTACAGTGAGGTTTTTGTTGGCAGGCCATTAGGTTTCCATGGTAACAAGCAAACTATTCATTTAAAACAAAACCAGCCATGACTTTGTGCTTTGACAAGAATTTCTATAGCTCTTTTTTTTTTTCCAGAGTTCAACCAGATGACCAGATAATGCTGTAATCGTTATAGCCACAAAAGCACCTGAAGGTCTCTTCTCTACTCAGGTCAAGACTATCTTTTATATGCAGTTTGAAATAAGTTATACTTCCATGATGTCCGTTTATCCCCAGTGCTTAAAAAATTTGTTTTTATTATTTTATTTTGAGTCAGTAGTCAGTGGAGGAATCTTTGGTAGTTTGTTTTTTCAGTGTCCATTTACAAAGACTCTTCATGCCAGTGCCTGGTGGATCTTTTACAGCCTCTGCCAGGATAAGGTCACCTTCGAGGGCTTAGGATAGAGATGAGGACAATAACTGGGAAAAGCCATATATGTACTAAAATTCCAACAGCACCATCAACGGAATCTAAAGACAAGGAAAACAAGTGCCAAGAAACAACCAAACAAAAAATAAGTATTCCATGTAACAACTTCAGTGAACTAATGAAACTATTTTTGCATATGGAAAACATTTTTGGAAAACTTTTTTTTTTCAGTTTAATTTATCGGCTTAATTTCAAAGACGAGTGAAAGGAATGTAACTTACATGTACAGTTAGGTGTATGGTTTTAGGCATTTGACAAAATAAACATATTTTCAGATTTAAATTGACATAAAATGATATAAAAACTCATTCAGAAGATATTTTGTGGGTTTGTGACTGAACTCAACTTAAGAGTTCTGCTAGCAACATAAAATCATACACATATAGAATATTCTCAGAAATCCTAAATGCCACCATTTTATTTCAAACTTCCAAAATATTGAAGCTTAAAGACTGAGAGGAAAAAACCAAAACAAAACAAAAAAAACCCTGACCCTTGACAAAAAATAGGAAGGAATTATTATGTGTAGAGAAATTAGCTACTGCATATATAGTGGATTATGTATGTGTAGATCAGTCCAATATTTATAAATTAAGTAAATAATTATCTCTTTAGCGTTAATTTTTAGAAGCACCATGAAGTTCATTCTAACTAAAAACTTCCTTCCAGCAATCTGCCATGAGATTTCTACCAGAGTTGTATTTCACCTAAAACCTCAAGTTCAGGTGATATATCTTAGAATATATACCTTACCTGAGAATGCTAACATAGGAAAATCCAGTAATTCATTAGCCTGACTTAATTTACAGAATGACGATCGCCAAAGACAGAGCTGAGTTTTGAAAATAAGACACATACAGTCTCAGTTTTTGAAGGTGTGGCCATAATAATGTTAATTGCCTGTGTGGGGTTTGGAGCCTAAGCAGAATGGGCTTTGGGCCTCCAAACCGGTTTGTGCTTAGACATTAACATTAATTTAATACTCATCAAACACTATTCATCAAAATGAATTATATAAATGACAAATAGACAAGTGTAACAGGATACTTCCTCATACCACAGGGAATATTTTTATTTAAGTAAAATTATATTTCCTCTGATTTAGAGAAGCTAAATATAACTTTAATACTTATAGATATATCTCATTTAAAACAGCCAAATATTTTTCTGGCTTAGTTTAAGAAAACATTCTATTGTGTAATAATAAGGTCCCTACCAGTTTTCATTCTCATTTCACTGCGCCTACTGTTACCACATTTTCTTTTTTCTTTCAGGAGTTAATTATGTTCTCATGCTTTCTTCTTTTGAAAGGTTAATTCACCTTGTTGAATTTAATTTATAATATTTTCTGTGACTGAATTATCAAAAATGTAAATTTTTTGTATGAAATTCTAACTATCTTCAGTTAATATATTACTATCACTGATTCATGTTGTGAAATCCAAAGGCAATTGCATTCCTCTCTGAGGAGAAAGCATGGCTTCCTGTGCATTTGACAAACCTATTGCATTTGAGTACAGCTATTAGTTGTCTAAGGCAAAATTAGCCAGACACAGGGTGAAATTTTTACTAAATGGGTTCCTTGAATTGCTAGGTATAATGTACAAGAAGGTAAAACTATGAGCAAAATGGCTCACTGTTATGCACAATCTCAGTTTTTGTCTTTTTACAATGTGTAAAAGTTGAACCAATTCAGTTTATATGAGAGAGCAGTTGCTGGGCTTTTGTACAAATATTACTTTCAACAACTACACTGATATAATTTCTCACTAATTATACTCAATTAACAAAGATTCTGATTTGCTCTAGACCTAAAACAAAATGGGATCTCATGCTCCTTTTGTATGTGAATAATTGATGAATTTATTTTTATAAATTGTTTCATTGATATCTTTTTATATGATCACAAAATTGAAGATTCCAGATGGTTCTACGAAAATCGTTCAATTGGAAGAATTTGGAACCAGAAAGACTTTGGACTTCTCAACATCAAATGAATAATATGAGAATGATGTTTATAAGAAGCAGCCCAATACATAATTCTGATGTTTCTTGCATTATTTGTCATTTTTATTTACATCTCTTTTACATAAAAATGGATATGTGGTGAAAAATAAAATTTTAAAATATCATTAAACTATAATATTCAAACCAGAGTAAAAATGAAACCAAATTACTAAACAATTGATTGTGGTTCAGGTAGAAAAGGTTAATAATACCAGAAAAAAAATAGGGCTAACATATATATATATTTATACGTATAAATATATATGTATATTTAGACTTTTCAATATTAAATTTGTTTAAATGTTTAGCAAAACTGATACCTAGGAAATATCTTTATAAACTGAATAAATAAAAAGATGTATGTCTATATAAATGTTTGCTGAGTATATAGATTAGCCAAATATTTTGAGAAAAGTTATAAACCTCTGCTTAATAATATAAATTAAAAATATTTTTAAATCCTAATTAAAAATAATAGGCATAAATTGAAATTACTTTTATATTAGGGCAAATAAGCATACAGTCAAATGTAACACTTTGAGTTTAAATTATCTTCAAAATTTTATCATCTCATATATAATAAATTCTAAATAAACAAACTAAATGTTTTTTAAATTATAATATATTAGTTTGATAGTAATTACACAATTTAACATTTCATCAAGCCAGTTCAAGAAAGACACTTACTCTTACTTGTCAGGTCTTGTTTTGCACATTCTCCCTCCGCAATTGACACATCATCAATGGCGATGTCCCCTTCAATGCCAGAACCTCGAATACCTTCAAAAATGAGCTACAAATATGAATGAAAGAAACCTAAATGTAGAGCTTTAAGTTTCAGATGACTTTCTATTAAGAAACTGAGGTGCAAAACTTAAAATTGTCAATCCAAATACCTTTTATGCTTGATGACCTTCAAAATCCTTTCCAAAACCAAATTATCTTAATAAAACAAGTAATGGGATATGCCTTGCATAGTATATGTTTTTTTTCCTCAAAAAAAAATCTGTGCTGTTTTTTAAAATAAAACTATAATTAATTGCATAATATAATTAAACCACTACTACATATCCTATTACTTTTTATTCTCCAGGGTAAGGAAAAAAATTTTTTGAACACTATTTCTCTATAAAAGATTCCCTCCAAATTTCTATAAACGTATAACACTGGTTTTCTAAACATTTTAAGGAATGAATCAGTTTTGGGTTTTCTACAACAGTATTATGTGTTTTTTTTAAGCCCAGAGCAAGGATTTATCATCTTTAGAAAATTGTTTGATCTCTTGCAAATACAGTGAATAGGTTCCTCATATTCCCCAAATGTTATAATTTACCACTATGATTTCACTTTTGACATTCTATTTTTAAACACTTGAAGATATTTATGGGTCTACATATGGTGAGTGTTTCGTAGACAATCTTTGAATTTCCAGTATTTAGAACAGTGGGTGGCACTGAGGCTTAACACATGAGTGTTGAAAGAGTAGATGAGTAATATCATCTCTCTTTATCATAAAATTCTGGACACAATGACAATATAAGGAAAATTAGCAAATCATTTTAACAATTATTATTTCACTTTTATAGAAACAACAACTTTTCAGAATTTTTTCTATAACCCTTTATTTATTTCTTGCTTCTAGTTAAACCTTGTAACCCTTCTGATATGAAAAGGCAAACTATAGTCCCAGAAAAAATGTCTATGTGTCAAAATGAAATGTGTATTTTGGTTTTGCCAGAGAATAGTTAGCTTAATAAAGATCAATTTTAACATCAAGCTGATGTGTGCACTTTTGTAGAATTTCTAGCTTTATTTCATTGCAGCAATTTATAGTAAAAGTCTGTATGAATACAACTGTTTTTTACTTTTTGTCTTTGATGGTATCTTAATATGGCATCTTAAAGGCAAACTCATGGTGATTTTTAGAGAATCTAAGCATCCTTTGAAAAGCAGCCTTTGATCCACTGGTCTCTGATATACAACTACTATAATTTTATCAAGTGAACTAATTAGTAAGTAGAGGAATTAGTTATCAACTTTGATATTGAGTTCCTGTCCCCTGCATAAATAACATGTAAAAATAAGAATTATTTTCATAACTTGAAGATGAAAAATACTGAGACTTTTTATTATTATATTTAATTTCTGCAAAGAAGTTTCTCTGCTTACTTATGATGAGGTAAGTTAATAAAGAATTATGTCTTGGAAAAGTCCAAAGCTATTTCTTGGAAAAATATCCAAAACAGCCTGTATCATTGAAGCCATAATAAAACTGCAGGCCAGCATTCAAATATTCTGAACCAACTGGCAGTATACAAATGCTCATCTTCAGAGTCTGCAATGAAGCATTTCTTAAGCTGTCTGGAAATAATTACTTATATTTGACTTGGGGTTGGTGTTTTGGAAGATATCTTGGGAGTGGCTAAAAAACCTTCAGATGACTGTTTAAATCACAAATGAGGATTTTTAAAAACACTAGTAATATAAACATTCAAGAGCACTATAGATGGAAAAGAAGTCTTAGTGACTGCAGAATATTCCACTTTGTAGATATTTATTTAACCAATAGTACCTTTTTGTTATTGTTCGATATTACAATACTGGACAAGGCTGAGGTGAATGCATTCCAAAATATTCTTAGACACACTTACTTAGAGCACATGGCTCTTTAGGTCATGAAAAACTGTCCCTATCACCACTCTGTCTGTGAGAAGGCATTGTTTTTTTCCTAACCCTGTGTTTCTAAGTCTTTTGGGTATTTTACTTTTTTGATATATGCTGCTTACCTGGTAGAGAATCAATGTTAGAATAAATCAGTGGTTATTCCCATCCCCTTTATAGTTTTAGTTATGGGATGCTGAGTCTTCTCTCCTGAAGATAACAGCATGAATGGAATGTTATTTTGGAGAAAGTCAAAACTCATAGATTCATATTGATATGAGTCTCATTTCATAAAATCAAACATTTCCATTTTGGCCACAAGGCTAATACTTTATTGAATGTGAGTGAAGTACAGTCATCAGAAAATTTTCTTTTATGCAGGTATTTTAAGGATTCAAACTGAGTAAAGTGTAGATTTCTGCCTCTCCAACAAGTTTTAATTCTGGAATGAAGCAGGAATAAGAACGTATTACTTGGGAAAATTTGATATGGTAAGGGGAAACCTCCTGAGTCATTACAAGTTATCATTTGATAAGGTGGGGAGAGAAAGGAAAGGGAATAAACACTGCTCGCAGAGCAGAACACAGGGTTTGCAATGTAGCCGTGGCAAAGGTAAAGGGATATGTTCTGTGTGCGAAGTGAGCTCCTGGTGAAAAGGCTAATAAGGGTAGGTTAGAATGTTCTGCACCTGCTTACAAAAAACTTAATCAGAAGCTGAAGTTATAATCCTTTCATAGGAAGGGATTTCGAAGACACGGGCTCGGAATACATGGATTTCCCATCTTAGTCATGCAGACATGAGTAGATATTAAAATTAACCACAGCTTTTCTTATTTAAAGTACATAATGATTTTCAGTAAGTTTTTTTGTTACCTGGAGATAAGAGTCAACATAAGATAATGGGGTCATTTTAAAAAATCAAAATTAAAATATGTAAATCATCAAAATGATTCCTGAAATTTTCTTAACTGCTGCTCCTAGGATGATCGTGTCATTGCTTACAAAACTCCAAAACTTCTGCTACTGACTTTAAAGCGTTAAACACCCCTACTTTCTCTGCTAATTTCCTTTGTCTTCTCTTCCTTTGGCCTCTCTGTGCAGCTTGATCAGAAATACAAGGTGGAACCCAGGTTTATACTAACAATAAAAGTCCAAGGCAGAGAGATTGTGACAGATGCTGCTCCCTTTTTGCTATGGTCAGATTGGGAGGGAGTGTTGGTGAGCTTTCTGTGGTCAACATCAGAGTTGGCTGACCAATAAAACTGAGTATGTGTACTACCTTCCTGCTGGCAACATGTTCACTGTAGGTGTGCAGTTGGCTGAAAAGCGAAAGTACAAATTAGCAAAAGTCAAAGTTTCATGTGTCCAGAGGACTGCCCATATCTAGAACATTCTCTTACATGAATACTTCAATTCTTGGTGATCATGAATGAATTGTCACAGTAGAAGAAATAGGCTGATTTGTAAATCTATTATTTACATTTATCTGTACAACTATGAAAAACACAGTTTGTCACTGTATAAAACAAGTTGATTACTTATTATATAAGCATAGCAGGCATTTCATACATTGTGTGGAAATAAATTAGGGAATGAGTAGCTGTTGTTACAGGAATGATAAAAATAATTTGACTCTCACACACTCAGTACAGTTATAATCAGTGTTTAATATTTATTTATAAGGCCATGAGAACAGGAAATCTAACCAAATAGATGAGAGAAATACTGTAGTCTTCCTCAGGGTCCAATTTGAGCAGGAAGATAAAGGTCCTGAGCAGAATGTTTGTTTCCAGTTAATCTCCACAGCTGTTTTGCTATTCAGGAATCACAGACTGTGTTTAACTGGTCTTGACTCTCACAAAGAAATATTTATTACATTGTTATATTTATGCTCTGAACTCCAAGTAAAATTATATCTTTGAATTAATATAATAAAATTTTGTAGATTCTAGTAAACTTATGAATGGCTTCCAGACTTAGACTAAAGGGATACATTTTTTTATATTGTTTTGACTGTGAGATAGATAACAGAAATAAGATGCATAGATGCTAAATTTAAGAACGCACCATGGCCCAACTTTAAAGAGTTTATAAAAATAAATCCTTGGTGACAGACATTTTTTCCTCAGATATAAAAATGAGGGACTTTTATGATGTATCCTAACTTGGCAGATATCACCTGTATATAATGAAAAAATCTGAAATGCTCTCTAGTAGAATAGGTTAAATTATGCCATAATTTATGAAGTACAATCATAGTTCTGACTACTATTATATTACAAAGATAAATCTTTGTTGTTTTCCTCCTCTATATTCCAAAATGCATTTGGTTTAATTGCCATGAAGAATAAATTAACAACATCTAGATACTTGGGGAGAAAATGTTGAGGTTTAGGTCTTCTAATAGAGAGTTCAGTTTATGCAAATATTTTCCTCTTACACAATCATGATGATATTATTCAAAAGGACTTTTCTCACTGAAATGATAAGTTTAAATTTTAATGTTTTCACAGTATGTATATGCAATTCAGCAAACTCAGTATGCAAGAAATACTGCATAATTAGAAAGTTAACTCTTGGTTTGTAATGCAAGCGGAAGTTCAAATATATATATATATATATTTCCATAAATATATATATATTTGTGATTTATCACAAAATCATTTTGATTCATAGACTGACAGTTTCTTACACGCATTATGATGCTTTATACATAGATATGGATGTGAATACAGAGACAGAGATATAGGTGATGCTGTCAAAGCTTATATTCATATATAATTTCTGAGTAAGAGCTAGATACATGCAGCACTAATGAGTAAAAGTAGAGGGTGAGTCAAAGAATACAGTGCACTTCTGATAATCTGACTTAAGCATTAATGGTGCTTTCTGCAAATGTTCACAACATTATTTTTTCCTGAGGAGAGATACATGCCTTCTGATCATCATTGCTAAGACAAACACAAAGTCCAAGAATACAGTTTGAAAACTGACAGTATACAACACTTGGATAAACTTCAGGGTATAAATTTGAAAATATTAATTATTAATTAAATATAAATTAACATTAATAATTTTACCTTTATTTTTTCACTGGGTCAGCAAATAATTGAACTAGCCTTAACTATTACA